ACGAAGGAAAGGACTAGAATTTTTTCAAAGGTGATATTTGGGATCACCTCTTCAAGGGCTATCGACTGATGTATGCTTCATACAGATATATCATCTGCTGAAACTTTGAATTACCCGCGCCTTACATGCTCTCTCCACTCGATGGTTATTTTCCCTTTCTATTCTTCTGTTATATATATTCACTCTTCTGTTTTTTTATGACTTATGTTTTCTCTTTCTGTTCACTCTTTTTGATGGGTATTTTTCATTCCTATTCTTCTCTCTCTCTTTCTCTTGTACAATATGTGTTTTTCCCAGTTTTCCTAAGAGATCGCCCTGTAGCTGAAATATACTATATATAGTTGTTAATTTGCTGAAATAAAATGTGTGTAACAGTTACATTCTTCTTTGGCTATTAACCATTGGATGCCAAACGATTTTGAAAGGAATAACCTAACCGTTGTCTGCTTTTCAAAGTCAATGGAAAAATTTCCTTTATTTTTTAAATTTTAAATTTTAAAAGAATCTAAATCTAAAACGTATCGAAGAAAATTTGAAAATCAGAGAACGTTAGCCCCCGCAGTAGGCCATTGCGCACATTTTTTGTTGCACGAGTTTTTTCCACCATGCACCGTTTTTGCAGCATTTTTGGCAAGGTATTTTTTCAAAATGCAATTTTGATCACTTTTTCTACGTTTGCGATCCCATAAAGGGGGGTTATAAAGAGTTGGACACATTAGAAGACCCCGGGTCTCCTAATATAATCATACTGATTAAATTAACTAATGAATGTCGAATAGATAATTCATCTTCGGCCGTACAATCTATTTTAAATAATTCATTTAAATAATTTTGTTCTTCATCATTGTATCCAATCATATGTTCAACTGGTTTTAATAAAATACGAAATACTTGTGATTCTTCAGCACTAAATTCTATATTAACTTGTAATATTTCTAATAATTCATTTAATAATAATAAACTATTTGCTCCTTGACAATAATAATCATAATAAATTTTTAATATTAACATAGATTTAATTTCATTTAAATTTCATTTATTTTCTTGTTCATTAATCCAATTGAGTAATGGTAACCAATAATTGATTTCGAATCTATTTCTTATACAAATATCAAATATAGTACTCAAATATTTATAAGCATTTTGTAATTTTGCAAATAAAATATGTTCATTTGTCGCTGATGATAATGTAAATTGAATTTGATCATATAATTGTATATTTTTCTTTCGAAAATTTAATTGTGTTTCTAACAATTGAAACATAGTTGTTGTCCACTGATGATCAATATTTCGAAGAAATTCCGATTTTAATAAATCTAATAAATAATTCCAATTTTGTCGAATTATAATTGTTGATAAAAATAATTGTAATTCATTACTAAATAAATGTTCATGTTGATCAATTTGTAATGGAATATAATTTATTAAAATATTTTTTAATAATTGATGCCATTGTTCTGTATTATCACCATGATTCTCTTCACATAGAAATAGACCTGAACAATAAATAACTAAATAATATTTTATGAATCTATGAAGATTTTGTAAAATTTCATAACGTTTTGTACTACTTGGTGAAACATTGACTTTAGATTCGTGAATTTGATGTATCATAGCACATGTAATTGTTTTATCATTTAAAATATTTTTAACATAGAAAAAATATAAATCACTTATGACTGTTGAAGTATCATCTTGTTGTTGTTCTTCTTCTTCTTCTTCTTCTTTAATTAGACATGGATGATAGGGTAAATTGTAATCTTTTATCTCTTTTACACGTTCAGGAAGACACTTAACAATAATACAAATGAGTGTATTCAAAATTTCAGTCATATTTAAAGTATTTTTAAGTATTTTTAAGTTTTTATCATTCATATTTATTTTATTTTTGAAAAGAGAAAGAAAAGCTTTCTATAACTTTGACTATAAAGTGCTTAGGAAAATTGTTATTGTACGAGTAAAATCAGCAAAAGCGATTCATGTTTGTCAAATTACTAATGTTTGCTCATTCTTCCAACGTCTATGTTTACTTAATGAGTCGTTTGTTCGTCAAAGAAAAGGACTTAAAAGTTTGACGATTTTAAAAGCATTTCTGAGAGCACTTACAAAAAATTTGTTATTGTACGAATAAAATCAGCTAAGATAACTGATGCTCTACAAAAAAGTGAAACTTCGAATTGAATTTGCGATGCTGGAAGAACACAGCTTGCGCAAGGGATTTATTACTAGTGTTTATTCAAACCGATAGCGTTAATATGTTGAACACTTTGTTTGATGAAGTATTCAAAAGAGGAAGCAGTTGAAAAGCGTGAAAAAACTAGTAGTTACAGAAAAGCTCTATTGTACCACAACGTGGCTTTAGTTTATGTAGAAATGTTTTCTGATTTTATGAAAACCAACCTTGATCCTCGAGATCTTTTAGTTGTTGAGAAAACAATGGTTTTACTGAAGAGATTGGATGATTGGTGGTCTCACTCATAAATGACTCCTAATTTTTTTTTCTAAGTGCTCCTGAACATTTCTGATATAATATTCGTGTTCGCCAGAGTCAGTTCTATCTGACTATGTCTCCAGAATATGAAAACACAGGGTGACAGATTTAGCTGCGTATTCGGCGATGCCCTTTTAAACTATTACACCATAAACGATAGTCAACTGTTTGGAGAATACTGTAAGAATCGATCATTAGGGCGGTGAAATCAAATATTCAGGCAAATTGACATGTTCTACAAACTGGATAGATCAGAAATGAATGTTGAAAAAGAAAGTTTCAATTCTAGATAATCGGATAGTCAAAGTTCTAAATGTAGTCCTTCATATACTGTCTGGAATTAGCACCGTTGACTATTTCTAATCCTCTTAATTTCTCATCCAAAAAGCCGAAAAGTTCGCCTATTGATTCACTGATTTAGTTTTTCAGCTCGTTTGCATACATATTTTACGGAAGGTACATATTTTCTTTATATTCGCTTGTATAGTTTAAATAAATAAATTTTATTTAATGTGAATTCAGAGACCTAATTGAGTCGCAGGTGATTCACTTGAAACCGCTCCAAAGTGATAAAAAGTTTTCAAAACTTGCTCCAAACGACCCGAAAATTTTGCTTAGATGATCCAACAATAACCTGAAACTGCAAATCGTTTTTCTCAAACGTATATTGTCATAAAGTTTGATCATCAGAATGCGACGTTTGTCTAGATATTTTTTTTCTCAAAACAATGCTGTGTACATACGAGGATTACGGTGGCAGATTATACATTACGGCATCGCAGGAGGAAAAAAGCACTAAACGTTTTTTCTCGATAAAAAAGAAAACATGTGTGAAAATAAATGAGTGAAAAGTAAGCAAAGAAAATCTCTCATTTCTTTTCTAGTGGCACAACCCGAATAAAATCCGAGCTTATCCGAATCAATATTTTTTCCATTCACGTGAATTCGATCCTATCCGACGCTTTTCGATTTGTTTCGGTCTCTGATGTGGAATGGAGACATTGGTTTGAGTTGAACATAGTGATTTTGAAATTACTGAGTTGAGTATTCGGTTTGTTGATAAATTATTTATTTACAAAAATATGACAGATTCATAAGACATGTTAAGACGGAACACAGAAATTGGACTATTTAAAAATTTTTGGTTCCAGTTGTATGTGAATCATAGACAACTAATCTTGCTATCAAGCGATATCAATTCTTAAAAATACTCTATATCTCTTTAAGATAATCATATACCGACGGCCTTATTTATTAATTCCTTTACTTTCTTATTCTCTTTATTGGGTATAAACGTAATGCTTGCATATAAATAAACCAAACAAGTCTCCAAAAGACACACATAACTTCTATGCTAATATGTCGCTCAAGACATGGAGCATCATCAAAACAACAATAGAGAAAAGAAAGAATAATCAAAAAACCATACGTGTACTTATTAATACACTTTAAGACTCGTCGTACAGCATGACTATAACCCATCGTCTGTTAAATCTCTTAGCAAGTTATGTCGTTATGCCGGTGTAAATCAAACATAGGTTTCTACGATGTCGGTTTTTCCGTTTGAAAACCGAAACCGATGCATGTCTAGAATGAAGTGCTCTACTATTCAAAAACAAAAAAATGAGCTACTTAAGTGTGGAATGTTCCACATACTATAGTCTGAAATGAATTCACATAGAAATTAATGGATTCGACTCTATATATCCGGACTCGCTTTCCCAGGTGTAGTAAGCACACTGAAAACATTCAGGTCATCCGAAATTAGCGCCACGAAACTAGATGTTGCCTATGTAAAATTCGAGATGCAGTCATTTTTATTTTCAAAAAATAAAAAATTAAAAAATACAGACTAAAATGAACTATTTGTTTTATCGTTTTTTCTATGTTTTTTTCTCTCCCATCTACATTAATTCTAGGGCAGCTACTGTACCACTCTCTCATAAGAGTATTGAAAAGAAAATAGCTGAGCGGCAAGAATATTTGCAACGAATTGAAGTTGAAGAACAACAAAAGTTGCGCGATTCTAAGCTATCGCAGTCAGAATTTCGTCGAACAAATATTTCCAGAGAATATTATCGAACAAGAGAGTCTATTAACGATCAAATATATGATTTAGAGGAGCAGAAAAAGAATTTACCTGGTCGAAGACGATACGAGTTCAAAAAAAACATCAGTACAAGAATAAAATCATTCCATTTTAAGAATCGATTTTTGCTTTTTGGTAGTGGTGGACTGTTACTGTTGGGATTAGTACTGAGCGGTATAACTGCATTGATAATGAATTGGAATCGTCTCACAGGAAAACAGACTCAAGTAAATATGAACACATCATACAATACTCCTTCCGCTATTTTTATTTAGTTTTTTTAGCAATTTTACTTTGTATTGATTTGCCGCACAACAACAAAAAATCATTCTCGTTTTCATATCTCTTCCTTCTCCTCAGTAGCCGTCACTTGAGTTTAGGGTATTTAAAACTCATCGTAAGGGCGTTACTCTTGTACTATGCGTTGAACATACATTAACTTTTTTTTCAACAGTTTGTTTCTCTTAATTAAGTCAGTGACAAAAGTTACGGCATCTGTAACAGCAGGGAATCAAACCGTGACTAATCTCGTATTACTATCACAGTGGAATCGTTCATTAGATACACCCATGGGTAAAATGATGACTGACATTGAAATACCGACTGTCAAACAACAAAATGAAGCCACGACACAACAGACCGAAAACAACAACATGTATATGATCGGTATTGCGGGTGTTTTACTACTATTAGTTGTCATTGGTACCATCGTTTTCATTGGCTATAAAAGGAGAAAGCTTGAGCAACCAGAGCAAATTAAATCAAGAATATCATCGGTGTCTAGTGTAGATGTTGGACATTCCATCTTATCCGATACCCCTGAGGACGACAACGTTAAAGAGTAAATGAATGAGAAAACAACCAGATACATAAACATTAAACAGCAGAAGAGATGTGTAGCTGGCATACTACTAATAATTGTAGCTATAAATATAGTAATGATTGTGATGAAACGACCAAATAATTAAAATTTGTAGTTGCTTTCGGCTTGCATGTAGAATAAAACTAACAGGAAATGCTTTCTGTGGGAGATCACTCTACGTTCACAAAATTTTTAGTAGAAGGTGTTAAGCTGACAATTGGTCGCTGTTGTCCTTCTTCACTTTGCTTTAAATAACAGTATTCAAGTATCGATTTTTCAGCAATGGCAGAATTCCTACATTTCAGACATTCTATAGAATTCTACATTTTCCCTATGAATTCTACAACAACTCATTCACAGCTGAAACATGATAAGTCCGAGTTATTCTCAAAACAGAAATCTAGGAAATGTATAGAATTCTATAGAATTCTAGGTTAGTACAGACCTAGTTGCTAACCTAGAATTCTACGTTAGCATAGATATATAATATATTGACCAAGTTTGAGTCAACCGGAAATGTATAGAATTCTATAGAATTCTACGATAGTACAGACATAGTTGCTAAACTAGAATTCTACATTAGCATAGATATACTTTTTATTGACCAAGTTTGAGTCAACCGGAAATGTATAGAATTCTATAGAATTCTACGTATGGTACTAACGTCCGCCATGTCATTCTATACATTTCCGCTTGACTCAAACTTGGTCAATAAAAAGTATATCTATGCTAATGTAGAATTCTAGTTTAGCAACTATGTCTGTACTATCGTAGAATTCTATACATTTCCGCTTGACTCAAACTTGGTCAATATATTATATATCTATGCTAACCTAAACTTCTATAGAATTCTACGTGTAGTACTATACGTAGAATTCTATAGAATTCTATACATTTCCGCTTGAATAAAACTTGGTTAGTGATAAATGTATCTGTATTAGCGTAGAATTCTATAGAATTCTGTAGAATAGCTGAATTGCAAGAACTCTGACATCCCTCCGATTTTTTCTTTGTTGATTGCTATGTGCGCATTGAAAGCATGACATTTTATCGCTTCCGTCGTGTCTGGAGACGAAAACGGAGCCATCACATGAACGTGAATGAAATGAAGTAACTACTATACTGGCAGCACATTTTCAATACTGTACTATCAGTATATTCTACAGACGCCAAACTCAATAACTGTCAATTTCCCAGGACCAAACAAGTCATGTAAGTATGAGATAATTAATCAATTTCAAGCACTAGAGAATTTTAGGATATACAATATCTCAATTAATCTACATTGTGGACTCTTCAGACTACTGAGATTTCTACAAATGCGCCTCATAAATCTTCTAATAGTTTGAATACTTTTCATTCATTTTACCGCTGGAATCATGCCTGGTAGATAGATTAATGTATGATCTAAAGTTATTAACTGATCTGAATTGATCTTGAGTGAGTCATGAGTTTTCTAGTTTCACGCACAAACGGTCTAAATTATCTTTGCCAGCGGATCTAACTTTCCACTAGACCTTTGAATTTTTCCAGAGAAATAAACTGTATCACGAGGTTGAGTGGCTATATATGTTTTTAGATCATAACATGTAAAGATCTACATACTCACACCAAGAAGAATATAAATACAGATTATGTATCTAGTAAAATCCTGAACTCTACTTTTCAGTACATATTCACTGTATATGTGCATAGATGTGTATGTATATATTGTGTGTCTGTGGAGTTGACATGAATAGACATTTCGTCCGTATTCTTACTCTAAGAGCTCTCAATTCACTATAGTCCAGGATACTTTTACCCCAACACAGTGGTTATATGAGGTATCTGTGGTAAAAGAATGGCTAAGTTTGAATGCATGGTTGCCTCACAGCACAAAAAATGTTTCAAAATATCCCGTAATCATTTTTAACGTCATTTTGTTCTGTAATTACATTGCTGTTGTAGCCCGGCGAGGAAGCACTGTGCAGAGAAAGTTGTTTAGTGGAAAATGTAGGACTAATTTCACGTAACTCAACGGTAAACTCATTCGACCTGGAGAGGAAACAAAGAAAAGTGAAATTTAACTAGTATCGCCCTAAATTGGATTTTTCAGCCCCTAGATGTCGCTATACGCATCGAAGTTGAAAAGTTTCTACACCATTCCATTTGTCTTGAAGAGATCTATCAAATGATATATGATACTTTGAGTTTGTGAGAAAAATCGTGATTTTGGAGTGCAACACCCTCGGGAATTTTACTAGTGTTTTTAACTAAACTTGAATATCTCGGTCCTTGTACGAGTGGTAGTCGGGAAATATTTTTCCGGTAATCCTCTCACATTATATAACAAAATGTACTATGTAGAATATTTTTAAATAAAACTTTCTTTTCTCTATGAGTACATTGCGCTTGCAATTATCCCAATTAAAGCTTAATTCGAGTAAAGTACTAGAAAGAAACTAAAAGTTGGAAAAATAAATACGAGAAAGATTGGCAAAAGGCACAAAGGTTCATCAGAAACAAATATGCAAATATCGAAAGTTTACCTCACAACTGTGTGAGTACATTGTGAAACTGTGATTTTATATCAATTTTAAAAATTCGGTTTTATACGATGGACGTTCACATATCACGAAACGAAACTTTTTTTCAAAGCTTGTTCCGTAAAATCTACTGCAGATTCGTCTTCTCCATAGTCGATAACTTTTGGATCGGAGTGCTTTAGAAAAAATTTTTGATATCGGCGTGCCTTTGGTTCTTCCATAGAGTAACTTTTGGAAAATTTTTGAGCAAGACTATGAGAAAACTTTTTTCCAAAGTATCCCGATCCAAACGTTATCGCGTATCAGGTAATCCGCAATCAGTTTTAATCAGTTAATATCCCACCTAATTTTTCCATTAGTTTGTAGAAGACACTTCGGAATATATGTCCCAACAAAGCTTTCGGTTCGCGGATTTGTGGTTTTCGATAAAAAAATTTTCAATTTTTTTCTCGGGTTTCTGCCCCCCTAGATTTCAATAAAAACTTCAGTTTTTGATATGAAGAGTTGACCTTAGCGTAGTTCGACAGAGAACATTAGCTTGTATAAGGAGAAACACTTTTTATCGTTCTCAAATGAAGTTTGACGCAGAAATTTAACGTTCACCTTCCTGAGGAAGTTTTAGAGCTACAAGTATTTTTCGCCTCACCTCACCTCATCGTTCGAAGCAAGCATTTTGAAGCAAAACTCTGGGTGCAAAACTTGTTCAGAATCGAATTATACAGTCCCTAACGAGAGGTCTCTTTAAAACTGTCCTTTTTTGATTTTTAAATCAAATTGCAGTTTTTAAAGTTTTAAAATTTCGTATTTTTCAATTTAAAAACCAAAACAGGGCAATTTTACAGAAACTTCTCGTTAGGAACTGCAGAATTTGACTGTGGACAACTTTTATACCCAGAGTTTTGCTTCAAAATGTCTTTCTTCGAATGAAGCTAGCCATATGATGAGGTGAAAAAATCTTCACTGAGCCAAAAATCAGCGCTACCTTCAGGCCTTCCCAGTTTGTAGAGAATACTTCGAAGAATATGTCTTGATGTTTTTTGAGCTTACTGACATTATCTGGCTGAGAAGAAAATTAATTACTTAAAAAAATATGGTTAAATTTTCGACTTACCGGCTGCTAAAAATGAATTCTAAAATTTTTAAGGCAGTCCATCTTGTAGCCTATGAATTCTCTATCCGACGTTGTATTGCTTGAACTTTTTCGTCGAGTCGTTATTTTACAAATGGGACTTTAAGCTAGAAGTGTAGGCTAAATTAACGTTAATTAGTACTAATTAGTCAATAACAGGAAGGAAAGAACAAAAGTATTTACATATTTTCTCGCAGTAAATGTTCTCCACACATTTCTCTACCGATCTAGGCAAGAACCAAGTTTTTGTGATGAATGGAGAATGAACAGGAGTTTTTTTAATAATAGTTTCTTGTTCAAAAACTTAATAATATTTTTTTTTAAGTAATTAATTTTTTTCTCAGCCAAATAATGCCAGTAAGTCTAGAAAACTTCAAGGTATCCTCTACAAACTGGGAACATTAGAGGAAAATCTAAATGCCCCCTCAAGTTTTTGAAATTTTTCGATCGAGTGATATATTGCATTGCGTAACAGCTTTGGATAGAAAGATAAACAGGCAGACGTATCATTTGTTTTAGATTATTTTTAATTTCAGCCTCTTGTTAGTTCTCTTTTTATTTTTCCAATAAACAAGAAAGCGGAATGAACATCTAGCGTATATCACATCTTCTTGTATTTAGTTCTATCGTAGACGGTAAATTCTCTATCTCATACACGACGAGATCAGAATATCCAAATCTCCTGATTTCAAGAGTAAGAAGCAACCGAGTTCATAAAGCTCTAAGTTGATAAAATTTTCAAGATTAGCAGGAAGAATTCAAGAATTAGCATCGAATTTTTTTCCAGTTTCTGAGATTTCAGAAATTCAGAATTAGCCGCATACCTATAAAATTCTGTCTGTCATGGCTTTTATCGTTCCCTATTAGAAGGAAATAACATGGACGCTGTTAAAAGATCAATCAAAAACTGAGTGCTAAGTTAGATGCAATCTTTCCCTCAACGTTTGCGTCTAACTTACAGTGTTTACGGTGGTTGTGATGTTTACAGGAGCTTTTTTCTTCGAATAGCTGATTCAGCTCTGGAAAATCTGAGATGGACACTTTCAGAAAATTCAGATCTGATTCTAGTGACGAAATCAGAGCTGAATGAGCTGATCAGTATTTTCAGCTCTGAATCCGCACATGTATTTTAATGAGATTTGATTCAGAGCTGACAAAACTGAAAGCTGATTCAGCTAGCTGATTTCGACCAGTGAGAGTACAATGATTGAAAAGTCGAAAATGTGACTTTTATGAATTTCTTGAATTCGAAAAGGTCAAAAGTTCTTTAGTGAGTAATAAGCAATCGTAATTTAAAATGTAGATATATAAACTAGTCGCTTTTTATAAAAAATAGAAGTAGGCAATTGTTTTTGAAAAAATAATCAAATTAATGTGAAAAGAAAACGAAGTTCTTGTATACATCTACAGGGTGCGTAATAATATTATTCCAGGGGGGTACAGCTCAAACGACAAATGATATCAAAACGAATTATATACCAAATGAAAGCTCTAAAAAAATGGGATTGATGAGTATAATTGATTTTCCGTATGATGATTATTAGCTGTAGAATTATGGAAATTTCTGTCGGGTGCGTCAATTATGGGTATAGTGCTGCTTTCAGTAAAAGTCCGATAACTTCGTCAGAATAAAAGCTTTTTCTATTGGGTCTGTTTTGTTTTGATCAAAAATGGTTGCTCTTTACTACCTAACTGCAAAATCAAAACTTCGAACACGTTTTCCGTTTCTTGCTTGGACACATTGTTGAAAACGGGGAGAAATTTTTGAAATTTCGGTTTCCGGCGCACCACCTGCTTTAAAACTTCTTTTTACTAGACCACGAGAAAGAGCATATTCAAAAGTACAAAAAAGAACCTAGTGCGCACTTTTGGTACAGTTTTTGCCGAAATAATAGCAGAAGAAAACAGTTCAAGTCGAAAAAAATACCAAATATACGAAGTTTTCAGTTTTTCCGCCTTTCATACAATTTACGTAGTTCTCTTGATTGAAGTTTTAAAACTAAAGTTTGTGTATGAATTTGTAGAGTATTTCGTGGTGCATCTTTTAAAAATAACACTAATCTTAGGATCTTAAAGGGATACGAGAAAAAGAGAAAGTACTAAGAGGCTCATTCATTATGACGCACTCGATAGAAACCTCCATAATTCCACAGCTAATAATCATCATACGGAAAATCAATTATACTCATCAATCCCATTTTCGATGAGCTTTCATTTGGTATATAATTCGTTTTGATATCATTTGTTTTGAGCTGTACCCCCCTGGAATAATATTATTACGTTGTATATTGTGCACAAACAGAACATAATAATCCATAAATGTTATTGGTACAAACAGCTCTTAACCATTGTTGACGACTACCAGACCACCATGTTGAACTTGGTTTACCATGTGTTTTACTGTTGTTTTTTTGTGTATCACGTTCCCAGTTAATATTTGGAAAACAACTTCGTTGTTTATCTACATAATCTAATTCATAATCATTTACAAATAATACTCCACGTATACTTGTTTTCATAGGTGTTGGCCGAGATGTTTTCTTATCATGCAATATATCTTCTGTAAATCCAACGTCTTCAGCACTATCATTGTGAATTCTTGTTCCACGATCTTCGCTATTATCATCATTATTATTACAACTATCGCTAACATTATCAAATGTTCTATTGTTATTAAATGCATCCATACTCTCCGTTGTGTTATCATCCTCGTCAGATTTATCAGGTGTATTTGTTAAAACATCAAATGGTGATGAAATAGAAGTATTCCTAATTATTGTATCATCGTTGAAGTTGTTGCTGTTAATGCTTTTGTCCAAAGATGCATCATAATTATTAATATTAAAATAATTTGTTATTGTTATTGAACCATCATTAGATGCACTGATTTCATTAGTATTTGCTAATGTGTTGTCAATAACTGGATTAACAACTTCACTATTATTGTCATTTAATACTTTTGGATCTGTTTGTGAAATACGAGGTTTTTTTGCAAAATAAAAATCACGTATATTAGATGAATTTGCTTGTTTTGCTGTACGTTTTCTTGAACATTCTTCTTTTAAAGTTTTCAAAGCGTTGCGACGTTCATTAGATGATAATAGTGTATGTTTATTGTTACAATGTGTTCCAAAATTTCGAACCATTAGAACCTCTTGACATACAGGACAATTTCCCGTTTGGTTACATAGATAGTTAGACGACATTATGTGAAAAAAACTCCTGTTCACTTATCATTAAAGAATCTTTTATGATTAAGTCAAATTTTAAAATTAAGACAAAATTTTTCGTTTCTTTTCCTTTTTATCATATTCACTGATTCACATGAGAAAAATATAACAATTTACAAATAC